ATACATAGATAGAAAGAAAGATAGATACAGATACAGATACATATACATATACATATACATATACATATACATATAGACATATAGATATTTACATATATATATATGTATATATGTACATATCATATATATATGTGTGTGCGTGTGGTCCGCATATGCGTGCGTTGCAGTACAACTCAGTACAACCGAAAAGGATATATGCACAGAAACTGGACACTAATGCCGATGTCATCGAACATGCCGTTCAATGTGTCTGGCAGGACATCGAGACTTGGTTTTGGAGTTTCTGATGCTGTTGGGCCTGAATTCGTTGTTGCGATCGAAGCCGTTGTAAATATTAGTTCTGAGTTTTCGATGGAGCTACTCGTGGCCAGATGTGTTCAGGATGTTGATGGGCAGGCATGGGTACCACGGAGGGAAAGCAGCGAATTCCCAGCGTAGTCATGCTGGAGCATTGTCAGCAGCCATTGACTGGCCTCTCTTGCTGAAATTTTGGCTCCGGAGGGACCCGGGTTGAAAAATACCACGGAACTTGTGCTCAACTAGTGGGTCACAACTATTTGTCCAGTAATGCCCCGTGGATTACGGTGGAAATGTGGCATGCTGGTTCACGAGCGGTTCATTGAGAGTTACATTGCCTCACGGCTACAGCAAGCACTGGAAGCTCCCAGGAGGGCTTGCGGTTAGGGCTGTGGGTTGCCGAAGTATTTCTCCGCCTCTGTGGGCCTGAACAGCATCTTGGCCGAGAAGATCCTGGGACAACTGTTTTTAGATCTTGGGACAACTGTTTACTGAGGATCTTCAGTCTTCAATCATGATGCCTCGATTGAACTCACTCGGCCCCGATGGAATTCAATCGGCTTGGCCATGAAGAAGTCACTGAAGTAATGGATGCTTGTAAGGAGTCGGAGTTCATTCTTTGCAACGGTATACACACATTTAAGTAGATCTTGATTCAATACATGAACGAACAAATGCACAACCACAAATATGTGTACATATGTATATATGTATGTATATACATATACATATAGGCTTATTTACATATATCCCGTGTATGTAAGGACATTCGAACTACAGACAGGCGCCTTGACAAATAAGCTTAAGCGCCCTGCTCCTGGAAGCGGATAGATAGTCTGATGGACAGCACCGAAACAGGTAGAGAACTTGGGGGGGAACTTTGTGCATTGTATGTGCATATATGCGTATATATGTACATATAGTTGTGTAGCGTTTTTTCTGTCTTACTCATTCATGTATTTCTTTCTGTGTGTTTGTGCTTTGCTTAATTGTTCTATGCTGGATGTGGTGCAGTAAGTAATTACCGTTATTTTTTTTAGTTAGTACGTAGTGTTTTCTGCTCCTTACTATGTTGATAAGTGTGTCAATTATTGAACATATTGCGCATGCGAGCTTGCACCATTGTGGGCCGAGGCAAAGAAGTCGATGATCGCCACACCGAGGAGAATCTAACATTGCATTGCGGAGTGTGACTCGAGGCTTTGTGTTGCCTGTTCACGGCCGTCCAAAAGCACAGCGACTGAGAGTCCGCGGATGAGGAACGAATATCCAACATGTTGTATCTTGCAACCCAGACGCGCGTGCAAAGATGCACCAAGAAACTACAGACCGGCAAGGACGAACGCACCAAACTCAGCGCGGAACCGGGAGTCGCGACCTTATCGCTTCGGGTTGTGGCTTCAACTCAATTGGCGACTGTTTGTGCGAGATGCAGATAAGTAGCGCAGGTTGAGTATTTGGGTTAGCCTTTCGCAAACCTTCCTTATTTCGTTGCTTTGGCAGCATGTGCTCGTTTCTGTTATCAATGTACATCAACTCATCAGCTTGGTAGTTCTCGCAGAGTTGCCATGCGTGAATTGAGGACTCAAGTTCAATCAGCACTTCATTACTCCGGAATGTCATTCAATCCTGTCGCATAGCCACATGGGTTTGCAGTCCCATCAGGAACTCAGTCTACATGAAGGAGGCTGCTGTGGCCAGATCAAACAGAGCATGCTGTCTTCGGCGAGAGCCCAGCCCCAGCACCCGATCCCCAAGCAGCATGCACAGGCGGCATAGCTCTGAGGATTCTTGTCGTGGGCTTTGTTAGATAGCGTACCTTGCCGCAATAAAACGGTATTGTAGTGTGCTCCATCGCAACAATTGCAGCACAGAGCTGTACCGGGTCTGGCACAGACAGAATTGTCTGGGCCTTGCGTGGCAATATCTCATGACACCTGTCTAGTATTGAAATTATGTTATTGTCCATCCCTGGCTGCTTCCTATACCAATGCCAAGATCACGGCTGCTGGCCGGAGGACGCCTCGTGCTGGGAGCTCATGCCGAGGCAGGGCGAAAAGGGCCCTTAGGCTACCGCTTCGGCTTCCATGGGTTTTGGCTTCCGGCTCTAGGCATGAGCCTTTCGGGGTTTAGGGGCAGAAGGAACAGCGGTTTCGGAATCTTCCCCTAGGGTCGAAGGCACGCTGATGCACGTAATTTCGTGGGCAGGGCAGCAGGTGGAGTCTCGCACCTTGGCAGTGAATACTGCTGATGTCAAGATCGCTGATGTCCAGTTCACTTCTCAACAATTACGGACAGCCTTGGCATGATTTTGCTGGAGGCAATCGCTGTGATTGTTGATTCTATTTCCGCGCGTGCGCAGCAGAGTCCCATGCACCCGACGGATACAGCAAGTTAGCTAATCAGCGGTGAGTGTGTCACTCAATGCCAAAGGAGGTGCGACACTCACCCCAAAATTCGAAACAAGCTGACTTGCTCTCCCAGTCACGGGCACCAGCAGTATTCCTTGTCACTGAGTTGCCACTTTGTTCTTTCTAATCCAGGTTCCTTACGAGTTGCAGCTTGCGCTCCCCAGACCATGCTCGCAATAAGCCTGGCTGTGTGATGCTGGCGGAGGCCGGAACAAATTCAGTTCCACCCAAGGCCAGGCACGACTCAGACTGGCTGCTATCTGATGCTACCAGTTGTGTTGTGATGGGGATTGTTATGAGGAATGGTGCTTTTCGAGCACATGCAGCATCGTCTTGGTCTTATTGCTAGTGTTGTTGCAGATTTGGGTTCTCTGCCTTTTGCTGCTAGGCATACAATGCACGGCAGCTACTCACTCCTAGTCCGACTCCGATCCGCCTACTGCAACGACGATGACGATAATCCGACAGCTCCGTTGCTGCTACAGTATCGCCATTTTCTTTCATTGCTGCTATTTCATTATGATCAGCATGTCTGCTCTGGCTAGTCTTATGACTTTGTAGGGGTGCCTCGCCATGCTTTTGAAGGCGTTGACTCGGAGTTGACTCCCAGCGCTTGTGCTAGCTTGCATCACCGCATCACCGGTTTGCGCTTTGGTGCTGGAGATGGTATCAAACTGGTGCTAAGCAGCGGCTCAATAATTAACCCAGCCTGAGCTGAGCAGTCTGGTCGTCCAATGTAACTTGGTGTCGTGTGCTGTAGTCCAGGGTCCTTCCGGCCCCGTCAGGGGTTGGCGCCTACAGCTTTGCGTCAGGCCGAGGCGAATCAGGATCAGGACGAAGTCGACTTCCGACAAATGCGGAAGCAGGCCTTAAAACGTGCTTGCCGATTCCGATGGCGAAGAGCCATGGAATTTCCAGCATGAAAAAGTCGACGTACTGTAGAATATTCCTATGCCCCGCAGCTTGAAGATCGTGGCTCTGGAATTCTGGACACTGCCTTCCCTAAAATCCCACAAGAGCCCCAAGCATACAACAAGTTCATGGAGGGTCCGATAGCTCCAAAAGTCCCGCACAAAAAACATTCAAAATCAGGGAGGCGCAAAGCAAAGACAACTCCCGATTTTCTGAACCGTGAGTCTGGGATCTAGGGAGGTCTACTAGGTCTACGTCATACATAGAGAGATATACTCCTGTATGCTCGAGGCTGCTGCTGCTACTGCTTAGACTGCTAAACCCAAGTTCGAGGATGGCCTGGTGTAAAGACCGGGTCTGTTATCCGTCGACACTGTAACTGCAAAGTAAAGGCTTTCGAGGCTTCGTATTTAGACATGCAGGTGAAGCAACAGCAGGAGAAGTACTATGCAGAGCGCCGTCCGAGCCGTCGAGCTCTCAACCATGGTCAAATGCAGGGAGGTGTCGGAAGCCAGTGCTATGGATGGACACATTCAAGGACGCATGCATGCGCAAAAAGTTATGATTTTTGTTATGTTATGTTATGTTCCGTCATGTAGTGTTCATGTATGCTTGCTTGTATGTATGTAGGTCGGCAGGTAGGTAAGTATGCATGTTTGTACGTTTAAGTAGGTAGGTCGGTCGGTCGGTAGGCAGGTAGGTAGTTAGGTAGGTAGGTAGGTAGGTAGGTTAGGTTAGGTAAGGTAAGGTAAGGTAAGGCAAGGTCAGGTAAGGCAAGGCAAGGCAAGGCAAGGTAAGGTAAGGTAAGGTAAGGCAGGTAGGTAGGTAGGTAGGGTAGGGTAGGGTAGGGTAGGGTAGGGTAGGGTAGGGTAGGGTAGGGTAGGGTAGGGTAGGTTAGGGTAGGGTAGGGTAGGGTAGGGTAGGGTAGGGTAGGGTAGGGTAGGTAGGTAGGTAGGTAGGTAAGGTGTATGTTTTGTCCAAGCATATGTATGTACATGTACGGGTTTGTAAGCATACGTCGGTGTTTTATCTGTGTATTAAGTATCAGTATATGTCAACACATGCATGCTTATGTATGTATATGCATTTGTATGTAAGAGTATGCATGTATATATAAAGTGGTCTTGTATATGCATGTGCATATATGTAGATGCATGTATGTATATGCCAGTATGTGCAGGTATATTTGTATATAGCTGGATACGTATATAAGTACATATGTAATTTCTGCCTCTGGATGCTTATGTACTGTATGCATGTGTAGATGTATGTCTGTACGTTTGTATGTATGCATGTATGTATATATTAATAAGCAGGTATGTTAGTCACTGACTAACAGTTAGTGTTTGTATTCGCATATGTACATTCGTATGTATGTGTAGATGCACACTTTTGTGTACATGTGTAGGCGGTTGAGTATGTTTTTGTGCATGTGCATGTATTCGTGTGTATATGTAAGTGTGGTTCGTTATGGACGTGTACACGTATCGTATTTGCATCTGCCTCTCAATCTGTATGTGTGTTGCAGGTGTAGATGCAGATGTATGTGTGTGTGTGTGTATGTATGTATGTATGTATGTATATATATATATGTGTGTGTGTGCACATGTGTTTGTGTATGAATGCGGGATGTAGCTACATGTAGCTGGCCGGCTAGCTAGCAAGCTAGCCAGGTGAGTAATCACAGAAGCGGACACGTGAGCATTTAAGTAGGTAAGCAATAAGTAAGCCAGTAGCTAAGTATGTATGCACGTCAGTGAGTAAGTAAGTAAGTAAGCAAGTTAGCTAGTGAGTTAGTTAGCAGTACATTATTTTGTAAGTAAGTCTATGTCAGTATCGAAGGAGAGGGCTACAGGTTTTCAGGTCGCCGACCTGGTGTTCTTTCGATTCAGACTTGGGTTGTAGGCCTGAGGTGAGCCAGCATCGCTTCCTGCGTTGTAGTTGCAGTGTGCCAGCACTTGAGGGACGAACTCGCAGAAACCGGAGAACATCATCTCGGAAGTCCCACTGAGCGCACGGTCGCTGCCCGGCACCCAGTCAGTGCTTGTTGCTGCTGCAGCTCCTTTGTAGTAAGGTGTGTCCCTTGGCCTGGGCGATCCCGCCAAATTTCTAAACTCAGCACTACGGGTCGCACCTTTACCCATCAGATTCCTAGATTCCTAGACCTGGCAGGACCTGCATGCCCGAAGGGTGCTACAGATGTCGTAGATTCATAGATCATCTGTGAAGCGTTTGCAGGCGGAGTTGCAGGTTTTTGTCCGATATGTCTAGGTTCCCGTGTCCTACCCGATCGAGTTCGTGAGTGCTCCGGATATGACACCTCCGCCTTTCTCCGAGGACTCGGGGCAACCGCGCCACAGCCGTCACCGCTGCTGCTGTTCGGACTCCCTGAGCACGAGGGAGAAGGGAAGGTTTGAAATGCAGACGCTCAGATTCTCCGAGTCCCAATACGAGCCAGGACAGGCACCACATATTCCCAGAAGCCTCAGGATTTGTAACCTGAGCGCCTTTCTATAAATAAAGATACAATGTATAACAACTTAACAGGAAATATATATATATATTATGTATATATATATATATTTCCTGCGTATACTTGTATATTTATATACATGTACACACACACACACATAGACACACATGCATACGTACATACACACATACATACGTACTTACTTACATACTCGCTTGCTTACTTACTTGCTTACTTACTGACTGACTTACTTACTTACGTACTGCTCTTACTTACTCACTATTTTACTTACTTACTCATCTGTATATGTATATATGGCGCTTTTGTACACAGACGCGCGTCTATGTACATATACGTATGGATGACAAGGGATTCATTTGTTTGTTTGCTTGTTTTGTGCCCAAGTTTTTGTGTGTGTGTATATATATATATACACACATGAGTATATAGAGTGGCAGCCCCCACCTGAACTCAGCCTGGCCTGCGTATGGAGATCCGGCCGAGGTCCTTGGAGGACAACAACTCGGCCCATACCTCAGATGCTGCTCCCAAAGCTCGGCTTCAGATGTGTTTTTGAATCTCACATCTGGTAGAGCTAAGGATAGCACATTAACTGAAAAATGCGAAACTACATGCGAGATTTTTTGTCCCGAGAGCTAGGAGATCATACCTGCGTGTGTGTGTGTGTCTGTATATGCACATGTACATGCATGCATGCATGCGGGCGGGCAGGCAAGCAGATATACACACATACATACATCCATACATCCATACATCCATACATCCATACATGCATACATGCATACATCCATACATGCGTGCATGCATACATGCATACATGCATACATACATGCATACATCCATACATACATACATACATACATACGTACATACATACATACATACATACATAAACAGCACATGCATGCGTACAGTTCAATGCCCTGTGTCAATGGGGAACATGTACTTTGAAGATCTTCGGCAGGTTTCGAGACAGCACGACTCTGCACCCCACTCATTGCTTCATGCGACATACTGGGCAGCTAATTCTCCTGCAGGCGGTGTCGGAGTAGATCCAATTTATTTCGATTACGGTGCGGCTACGAGGCGGGATCCCAAATCCAACGGCCAGCAGTGAAAGTTAACGATGCAGGTGTGTGAACTAGGCCTCTTCAGGTCAAGCAGGGGGCAGGAAGTTCCGGATGTGAAATGCAGCACCGGTTCAGCGTCTCAAGGACATAGCCCAACCCTTCAAAGGTCAAGCTGCGGGTATGCAGGGTTTCAGTTGTCAGGAACGGGCAGTGGGCAATGTGGGAAGTGCGGCCAGGAAGCTTCGCGAGAAGGCACAGGCAGAGAAAGAAGGCGCGAAGCTCTCTTTTGCAGTGAGCCTGCACCCTTCCTCGTGGTAGGCCCACATCCCCCAATTCCCGAAGTTGCTAGATGCCTTTCGCCAAGGGTAGCATAGGCCTCGGTCAGGCCTTGCTGTGCGTGTTGTTATTGGCGTGAGAGTGAGTGTGTGTGTGTGTGTGTGTCTGTCTGTCTGTGTGCCTGTCTGTCTGAGTGAGTGAGTGAGTGAGTGGGGATGGGGGTTCAGCTACGACGGCTCACAGGCCGAAACCAGCGAATCCCTCCGGGCAAGAAGCAATATTCCCAGTCAGCATCCCGTGCGCAATGCCTGATAACGAAAGAGGTCTGCCCCAGCTGCCCTAATTTTTCAGAGTGGTCGGATTGAAGAGCTTCGATACTGTATTTCGGAGCTCGCATGCTGAACTTGAGCACTCGCCGTCGCTGATACAAGAGTGGCTTGGTTGGATGCTGTTGCCACTCCCTTCGCCCCTGCCGCCATATTGGGAGGTCAGATGATGGATGATCCCGCTGCCGCAAAGACGAGGGACCGCAGCACTGCTGTTCTACAAATGCTTTTCACAAGCAGCACACGATGGAGTGTCACAGGAAGCCACAGGTCTTGTTATGAGGATTCATAGCTAGCCAGTTTGGTTCTCGGTCATCGACTTAGCGGTGAACGGCTTGCCCACTTCAGCACAGCAGCATAGCTGTTGCACGGGGAGTGGCGAGCATGGACTCTCATGGACGAAGAAGCTAAACTCGGTCGCGCGGAATCCGAAAGAATAGAGTTCGCACAGGGTGCCCAGTTCTGATCTGTTGTCTCGCGAAATTTGTAAAAAGAAAAAAGCAGTGCGCAGTGGCAGCGTTCATCTGTTAGACAAGGACACCTAAACCGCACTCGGATTTGCTCGAGCAGAGGTTCGGACGGAAGCTTCAAGCCCCACAGATTGCTTTGTGAGGAGATGGTGACCTTCCTGACCTCCCAGGGGCTGTCGGGCCCGATCAGGCAAAACGGGTGCGCGAGCAAAGCACTGGATTTTCAGTGCGCGTGCATGCTTCCCTCTTGTTGTCGTTTTATTCGGCCCCAGAACAAGCGTTTGAAAGCCTTGTCGAGGCAGTAAGCAAGTCTTCACAGCGTCGCTGTTGCCTCGTCCATGGCGGGTCTAATGAAGCTGTAGAGGCTGCTGAGGTCCAGCAAACTCGAGGGAGGTTTGCCGACTGGAAGAATGCGTCGCGATATTGGAAGCAGGCTGTTTGAGTGTGTAGACTGTTGCTCATTACTTCGTACAGCATTGGGGCTGCCCACGTCGCCAAGAAATGCGAAGTTGTTTCTTTGACCTGTGTGACTGAACTCCGAACTGTCAAAGCTCGGAATTTCCGGTCGTGTCCATCTCCAGAGTACAGGTTCACGCCCATGCCCGTTGTGCCTTCTCGAATGGCTTTTGGGTTCTTAGCTTGAGCTTGCCAGGGCATATGCCAAAGCTCTTGCATTGCAGGGTGTCCGGCCCTGAGCGCACGAATTTCGCTTACAAGCAGAGGTAGTGGTAGTGGCGGCGTCGTCGTCGTCGTCGTAGTAGTAGTAGTAGGAGGACTAGGAGTAGGAGTAGCAGTAGGAGTAGCAGCAGCAGCAACAGCAGTCACAATGAGCCCCCTGCAGACTGGGGTCTACAGCTGCAGCAACCAACTCCGGGACAGCTCTCAAAGTTCCCGCGCCAAAGGTCACAGAGCCCCGCACCTTGATCGAGTCCGACGCTCCGAGGCCTTCCGCTGTAGTGTCTGGTTGTGGTGAATGGAAATGAATGCAAAGTCCGTACTGCCCTGCTTGTATGTATGTTGGACCTTGACTATCATTGGGGGTTGTCGTTTGTAGGCGTTTCATGAAAGGGCCCGAACTTTCAGCCACAATCCATTCAATTGAACCTGATAAGCCATGGGGATTCCTATAGGTCCTATACCTTATACTTAATATTCTCTCTAGCAGAAGTGACCAAAGCCAAGCGCAGAAAGCATACCAGGCATGCTTTCCGAAGCCTTTCAGCAGGTTCTGCAAGGAGGTGTTGACCCTAAGAGAAGGCTAGGGACGTTCGCTTCCGTTCAGAAGCGGACCTGCAAAGTTGTGGCCAAAACCCCAACGACTTTGGCGAGGCTGAGCAAGATGCTGAATTTCGCAGAGTTCGAGTGCACTGACGAGAGACTCGGCTAAGTTGGCTCGACCACTGCCATACCACTCACTACAGTAACCCCTCATCGAAGCCCTCGTAGTACCCTTTCTAGTAACCCTCATGGTACCCCTTATGAACACATTCGTAGTACCCCTCAAAGGAGTCCTCCTGGTAATAACCCTCACATAGCAAGCTCATACTCCTACCCTTCCCGCACTTTCCGCCCTTCCCAGGCTGCTCTTGCTCGATGCCTTGCGCCAACTGCGGTAGTGTTTGGGCCCCTCGCGCATCGTGGACGACTGCGGAGCTTCAATGGACATGTGTCGATGTTTTCGAGTCTTCCAAAGGGAAGGGGCTACTAGCGCAGTTTCGTGGGCTCAGAAAGCTGCTACGAAAAGCTCACGGCCATAATGCGAAGGCCCCGATTTCCCGCAAGTCGACACAATGCGCGGTGCGAGTCCTTTCCATTTAAAGGCGTCCTGTGCCGACAAAAAAAGAGTCGGTCCACTCTTTTCCGCCAGAAGCCTAAGGGCTCCTTATCGGGCTGGAACTGTCTTGAAGCGGTTGGACAGACGTTGAACATGTCTGCTGCTTCATCAGAGCAGGGCTGCGCTATGAACATGCAAAGCTGAGCCTGATTGCATATGAAGTCTCGGAAAAAATGCGTCACGTCCCTAAGATGTATATGCAGGGTACTTGAATTTTACTTAAGTGTCCCAGTACCCCGGAACCAAACAGAAATAGTGCCGTGCCGGTCTCACTCAGAGCGGATTCTAAATCCCAAGGATCCAGCCAGGCTTTTCTTCCACAGACTTAAGATTCAATGAATATTGACCCTCATCCTATATCAACCCCAAGCTGGCAGCACTGCACAGGTGCAATTCTTGGACAGATGTTGGTTTTCAGAGACGAAGATACGGGTGCAGAGAGCTTCTTGCTTGTAGGTCTGTTGGTGGGTCCTGTGCACTAAGATCATTCGCAATAACTCGAGTGCCTCCGGAACACCAGCGGATATGCTAGTTCACCTAATTGCTCGGATACCGGCTTCGAACCCAACCCAGCTACTGACTGTCGGTCTTCAGCCGATTGCGAAGCGCGAGCACCGTGCCTTCACCAGAGTAATGTAGGGGCCTTAAGAATTAGAATAGGGTTTTGGGGGTTCCTTATTCTCATTATAGTATAAGATACCCCAAACCCTATTCTAATTATTAAGGCCCCTATATTAACAGTATCTCTACACATTTAAATGCTGTTCTGATCGCAGCGAGCTCTGGCAACTGCGCCAAACTGCCCTCGCTGCGTTCATGCGAGATTTCACACACTCTGCACTGGTATAATCGTCGCTCCCGATACCTAAGCTCGTACTTCAGTTTGGCTCCCACATGGATGTCAGCCTGGCTTTATTTATAACTGTGTATATATATATATAGATAGATAGATAGATAGATAGATAGATAATCACCCACTCTTTGTGTCTTAAGGGGATGTCTAGCATTCCGGTGAGCCCTGCAATATTGACGAATCTCACGCCTCCAGAGATCCAATCTGCATGAACCTGGCAGTCTTCCATGTTTCACTTCGACTCCGAGCAGTCTCGGCCAAAAAGCTCTACACGGCCTTCCGTCGTCGCAGTGCAGTTGTAATTAGTTGCAGTGCCTTGGCGTCCTCGTCGGCGACTCGTTCTTGTCAACGCTCAGCAAGGGACCTGAAGCTTGCTCGGAGGCTTCCGCTTGTAGGGGCATTGCCGGAGGATCTCGTCATGCCTTAAATGCCTTATAGATCCTATAAGCACTACTACTTCTTATTATCTCCTGAAAGCAACTGCCTGTCCGAAACTATATTGAGTAGGTGGGGATCATTGGCGAATGTGCTACGCTAAAGGCATGGCCTGATGGCCCGGGCCTGGCGAAGTGAATTTAGTTCTGCCCAAAAGCAGCTACTGAAGCATGACCTAGGTTTGCCAGAAAGGCAACTCCCGTTTGCCGGTGTTAGCGCTGCACTCCTCAGCGTTTGCGGGAGTATGAGTATGGTTTCTGTCTTTGTTTCAGGGTTTGCGATGTTCAGGGCTGGGCATCTTTAGGATGGTTCCACCTCTGGGAGTGCATAGGATCATCTGGCTTTTGTGGGAGCTGACGGCGCAGCGGCTTATGGAGGGCTTGAGAAGAGTCTCCCTTTCATGTGCGGTCGTAGCCCAAAACAGCACAGTCGACACTTTGATGTCCACCCTGATTTTTGCCTGCGGGTGACAAGGGATGGTCACCACTAGGTCCCTAGCTGAGCAGACCAACTGAAGACGATTGGCCTGACAATGCAGAGCATCCCTTGATGCTGCCGACGGCAGGAGATGGAGTTTCCTTTTGGAGGCAGAAGAGATGAGATAGACGCAGACTCATCACCTGCACTTCTTCCGATAGGCTTGGCTGAGGTGGAGCCCCAATCAGGGGTTGAGGTTCGGTGCTTGCTTGATCACTTCGTAACGCTCGTAAGGCCTTATCCCCCACCTCATGAGCAATGCAAGAAAAAGCCGAGCCTTCTTGGATCTCCTCACAAGTAACCGACCAGAGTGACTAGAGAGTAGAAGCCCGCCTGCACGTGATTAGTCGGGGGCTTTCTGCTGCCTGCCATCTTCACTTCTAGCTCAAATGAGTTTCTGGCTAGTGGGCTAGTAGGCAGAGGACTTATCAGGATCCGGGTTTCAGCGTGGGGCTGTCCACCGAAGCAGGAATCCTCGCATCCATGGTCTTTGCGCAGGCACCTTTCAGAAGCGCTCTGCCGCCTCGGCACGCTGACGTAGAACCGTCTGCATTGCAGCACAAAGCGGGAAACAAGTGCAGCTATAGGCAGTGTATCAGCGCCTCAAGGACCAGGTTACCAGGCCGCCTGCCACCAGTAGACATTTATGGCACAGGGCTGCAGAGCCGGGTTCGGGTCCATGGGCTGCAGGGCAAGCAAAGTTTTGAGTACTGTGTTGGTCTGGTTCTTGACAGGCAGCACCGGGAAGGAAACTCGTCTTCTTGGTCGCGTGCAGCGCGACAAGCTGAAGAGCTGAACGCCGACGTACTCCTCTTGGCTTCCACGAGCTCTGGCATGTATCCACACTTGAGCATGGCACCGTTGACCGTTCACTCCTGTTTCGCTGTGCCCGCCGCGCCGACTTCCCGATCAAAAGTCAAAGCTGGGCACATGCCTTCCTAAAACCACTCCGCAACCCTGACTTCCTAGGCGAATGCCACTTTACAACTGAAAGTCCTCAACCGCTAAACACCTTCCGACTGCTGCGCAGCGCTTTTTTCCGGCTTGCGGGGCGAAGTTTCCCTCCTGCCTTCTGCCACCCGTCTAAGGAGGCAGGAATTTCATGGCACATACCCGGGCATCGATCTCGAAGTTGAAGAATGTTTCTGGAAGGTGCAGAGCACAAAACTTAAAACTTATTGTGCTGGTTTCTGGATGTAGATTGTTCCATGAATTCTCTAGCTGCATGTATGAGAGACACACAGACAAACGGATACAACGGACATGTCTAGAAGAGCACACATACAGGCATGCAGTACAGATGGATATATATATATATGTATATCCTGTAAAAACATAAGATGAATAAGGATGGGTTCCTACGAAGCTCATTGTCAGGCAGACACGAATGTACAGATAGGCTTGTTAAAATGGGTACGCGTGCAGCCACAGTCGCATTGTTGCATTTTTGCCAGTAGAGGCCACGCTAAGCCGCTAAGCATTCAAGTATCAAGTCTGTCTGTCTGTCTGTCTGTCTGCATGTATGTATGCATGTATGCATGCATGCATGCCTGCATGTGTGTATGTGTGTATATATATATATGCCTTTACA